GGTATGTTGTTTTGAGTTGGTGAAGTGTGTTGTTCAGTAGAGGGGGAGGTGTGTTGTTTTGAAGTTGGTGAGGTGTGTTCATGTGTTGTTTTGAATTTCTTGAGGTGTGGTGTTTTGAAATAATTTGTGAGGTGTGTTGTTTTGAAGTTGGTGAGGTGTGCTGTTTTGAAGTTGGCATGGTGAGGTGTGGATGTGTCTGATGTCTGTTTGCATGCACACAGACATGTGGATGGCTCATGGTTGTGTCCTTTTGCATGCAAACAGACATGACCTGACCTTCCCAGGGTCACCTATGGGTCCAAGAGTCACATCCATTTCCATAAGACACACATGTCACCAACTTCCAAACAACACACCTCCTGTCCGTTTGCATTCAAACAGACATGAAACACATCCACACCTCATGTCCTTTTGCATGAATACCAACATCAGGCACATCCCCACCTCACTACACCTCATGTCCGTCTCCATGCAAACAAACATCAGACATCAATGCCTCACTACTCCATGCCCATTTGCATGCAAAAAAGACATCACACAACTTTGCATGCAAACAGACATTGGGCGAGGTGTGGATGTGTGGCTGATGTCCATTTGCATGCAAACAGACATGAGGTGTAGTACCCCCCTATCCCCAAACCCTAACCCCCATCCCCTATCCCTAAGCCTAGCCCCTAACCCTTAACCCTAAACTCTAAACCCTAAGCCCCAACCCCTAACCCTAACCCCTAATCCTAACCTTTAACCCTAACCCCCAAAAACCTGCCCCCTAACCCCCATTAGGGGATGGGGCCAGTGGGATTTGAACCCACAACCTGATGGGTGGGCAGATTTTGGGGCTGGTGAAAACCATTGACACCATGGACAATTGCATGTCCCTCCCAAGCAGAGCAACATCTGGGGGTTTCAATGGGGTTTCATGTGCAGTGACTGTTCCCACTGCGGCAGTCAGAGGAAGCAATTGAGTTGTGGTTGTGAGCATTGAAGGAGTTGAGATAAAGGGACAAGTGAGGAAAGAGATGAAATAAGAACAAAGAGAAAGGAAGAGGTGAGAATGTAGGAGATAGAAATGAAATGGCAGACAGAAAGAGGAAGTAGTACTAGAATGAGAGTGGAGAGCACAAGCTGTTGAGCTGTCAATTCATTGAGTTTCATTTCATTTACATCTCAGTTCATGTTTTTGTGTGCTACATACCTGTCACTTACATTTCACAGATCCTGTAGTAGACCTGGGCCAGAAGAAATTTTGTGGAAGGATTCTTTTCCTCCTCCTTTCCACTATCTCTCTTTCTGACCCAGGTGAGTTCATTTATCTTCTTTTGTTTATTTTCTTCATTTATTATGTCTTTCCATTATGATTATCATCACGTATGCAATGCTAATCATCATCCTTTCCACTATCTCTCTTTCTGACCCAGTTCATTCCATCGCAAGCAAGACCTCAGAGTGGTAAAATTAGAGATGTCGCTTGATACCCGGGTACCTGTAGCGGGTGCGGGTACCTGCCTCAAAAATCCAATATTTTTGACACCCGCACCCGCACCTGCTAGGGCCGCCAGGGCGGGTACCTGGCACATTTTTGCAGGCAAATATACCCAGAAATCTCACCCTTGAATTTCTGAATGACTTGGTAAATATAAGATTGATATTCACTAGATATATGAGTAAGAATAAAATAGAAATAAAGAAATAAAGAAAAACAAATTATTCTATCACCTATTTAAATTTTATCTTCTCTCTGATCTATCTTTAGCTTGGCCTCATTTGCCTTATTCAATTTCCATTGATGAAGACTGTATACCGTCTTTATGACTGGAGGAATTCCTCCAGTCATCAAGACTGTACACCATCTCAAAGGCCGGAGGGAACCCTCCGGCCTCAACAAAGCAACCAGATTAGTTCAGCAACACATGTAAGACACCAGCTGGTGTCCTACATGGGTTGCTGACACCTTTGTGCAGCCCAACACACCCAAAAAAGGGAGTGTTGGACCACCAATGATAAATTAAATTCTTCAGGGGAAGCATTCCCAGGGCGGGTGTAAGGCGGGTACCCGCGTACCTGCCTTTTTTTACCGCAAATGTTGACACCCGCACCTGTTTTTACCGCAAATGTTGGCACCCGCACCCGCACCCGGTACCTGTTTCCGGGTACCTGCTGACATCTCTAGGTGAAATTACAATAGTAGAGGTGGCAGAATTCTACTAAACTATTCTACTTTTCAATGTAAATTTGCTACACTAAGCTGCACTAACTCTAAGGTTAGCATAACTGGCCCATTGCTGCCAAGATTTTGTTATGCGGCACAGGGGCAGTCTGTGAGTTGGAGGAGTGTTGTTGCACTGTCACCCAGAGTTGGAGAAATGTCAAGAAATAAAACAACCACCAAAAACCCTTCTTGTTGAGATGGACTCAGGGGACTGGAGACATGTATGTTGGAAAGGATGAGTTTCATTTAGAGAAGAAGAAAGAGAAAGAAAAAAAGGAACATACCTGGAGACATGTATGTTGGAAAGGATGAGGAAAAGGAAATCCTCCCAGACACAAATGACTCCAGTATATGAACTGAGAGAAACAACTGGATGTCACAGAGTGTGACATGAGAGAGATGAATGAAATGAAGGAAGAAAGAAGCACAACAACAACTGTGCACATGTAACAATCAATGACATGTCACAGTATCCCAACACTTCTTTCATGATGAAAGAAACTTACTGAATCACATAGACCAATAATATTGGAGTCTAGTAAGGCTGATTGGATGTGTGATTCTAGGTTCCAGGAATCCTAAGCCTTGTATAGATGAGGCTATATCCTCATATGTAATCCTCAAAGCGTTCCCAGCCATTTCTGATCTTGGGGAAGCTTTCATCAGGTTTGCAGACTTCAAGCAGGGTATCTCATGAGACCATCTTGAGCAGTGTTGGTGGGTCCACTGGGACTGGTAGATGGGATTTTATTGATTGAAGTATTATTCATATTGGGAGCATGTAAGTCTAATGAAAGTGAGTGAGCTTAACATAGTGGATCCAAGTTAATGGAGCAGTTAAGAGGAGACAGATAAATTGGATAGGAAGCTAACTAGTCTTGGGGTGTTTGAATTGGCTACAAGGCTTGATTGGACTGATAAAGTCTGATCATGATCAGCTCATGCAACATCCGGGTTAACTGTACTGTAAACTCCACCTGCTTCTCATTACAATACTTGAGCTGCTATCAATTCAACCAACACATCCATGGTTCAACTCCTGCCAAAGTCCTTTCCCTCAGAGTACCCAGCAACAGCCTTACTGTGGGCAGTGCTCTTGGGGGTGGCTTTGATTCAACTAGAAGCAGCCGGGATGCAATGTCCTGCATTACCTGGGTCCCAGTGTGCCCTTGAGGCACCTGTACTAGCCAGAATGCAGGAATGTGGTCAGACCTTCATCTGTAACTTTGGTGAACCCCATGGTTGGCCCCCTTGTAGGAAATTAGTACCAGTGTTCAGTCGAAAATGTATGATGTGTGGCAACAGCTATGGATTTCAAGGTGAATGCATTGAATGGGGACCTGCCCATCACCAAACTCCCGGTTGCCCTGCAGTCAAACAGGGACTAGCTGAGGGACATGGCACATATCCTAATCGATACATGGAACCCGGATGGACAACGTAGTCCATCTCCTGCTTTGGCCGAAAGCGACAACTGGGTCATTCTGTTCCAAACTCATGCAGGGCAATACTTTTTTGAAAATTTTATTCTTTCCTGGGATGTGCTTTAGTACAGAGAGGGCTTAGACAGGCATATTGTGGCCTCTGGACAGCTCCCTCCAAAACGACCAATCAGGCTGGATTTTGAACTTGATTTATCTACCAAGTTATAGCTGGACACCAACATGAACCCTGTTTTGAAAGATCCAGTGAAACAGCCTGCAACAACTGGGTGTCAAACTTGTTTAATTGAAAAGGATGATCAAACAAAATTTTTGTTGCATGTAGGCTGACAGTGATCATTGGGCAACAGTGGCATTTCATGTGTAAAGCCAATCAAGCAATATAATCCAGATTCTTCAGTCCTGGCATCTTCCTCATTCCCCAATCACAAACAGTTTAGCTCTTCTCAGGCAAAGCAAAGTTGTGAAAAAGTTGTAAGGATCAATGAATCTTGCATAGACACTTCTAAACAAATTTATGTTGTGATTGATTATATTTTATGTTGTGATTGATTATATATTTTTTTTCTTTCACTCTTCTTTAACAAAATCTACAACAGTCTGAATGAATTCATTAGGTTTCTCAGCATGAACTAGTTGTCAAACACAACCCAACCAAGAGAGAATAAAAAAGGGAGGGATAGAAGCAGGTGAGTTCAATGGAGCATTTGCAACCTTATAATCCCATTCAAATCAACAGTTCCAAAAGAAACAGTACTGACCCCAATGATCAGTATCAAGAACGACGAGGCGATGGTTCATGAAAAAGGCAGCAATAGTCGGTATGTTATATTTGTTAATATATTTACTCCGAGCGCCTTTGATGAATAACGAAGGTTTATGGAACCGGACTGAGGGTGGTTGGGACTGAGTGGAAGCGGATCCTGGAGCCGGCTCGGTCCGGGGTATCTCGAATGGGAAGTCTCCTACTTGGTTGCTCGCCAGCTGTGCCTCAAGTACTTCTACAGGTAGCCTGATCTCATAATGAGGTGTCCCTTGTCCTTCGGCTCCGTCTCTCTCCACTTTCTTCAAATTTGTGAGAAGGAATTGCCGTCGTCCTAGGTCCTAACCAAATCAAGTCAAACCGATTAACACTTGCAGATACTATCTAGTAGTGCTGGGGGGTAAGTAAAACCAATGATGATGGATGAAGATGAGGAAGATGAAAGAATGTACCGGTTCATATTTAGTCAAAATTTCATCAGCTTCTTTCCGACTGGAAACCGGCCTAGAATTAATCTCCTTAAAGCCATCGATATAAACTTGGAAGCTCTTTGAGATGGGACCTTTGGCGGGGGAGATATCCACGGCGACCAATTTCTTGATCAAATCTGATCCTTCTCGATTTGAATTGCTCGAACTCTCTGATAAGGCTAGACTCATCGCTACTTTGCCACCCCTGTTTTTTTGGAAAGAAAAGAAAAAAAAAACAGCTAGTTGAGTTTATTGAGTTTCTTTTTTTCATTTGATGAGAAGAAGCATCTCTTAGTCTGACGGTGTGTATCTTACATCGAATGTCCGATTAGAATCACGTCTTTCAAGTTGTTGGTCGTCATGAAGTGTTTGACATCGCTTGAATAATCTAGATAGGAAGTGAAGCCGGGTGTGGCTTGACTTTCACCATGATTTCTCAAGTCCTGTCGACACGAGATGAACAAATCAGGATTGCTTTATCAATTTTCCGGCCTGCAAATTCTTCCCTAACGTTTTCCCAACGAACGAGATCAATAGTAGAAATGAGAAAGAGAGAGAGGAAGGAATGGCATACTAAAGTAAAGACGGTTTTCTGAGTAGCCTGACTTAATCTTTTGGCGAGAGATCTCCAATTCTGTTTAGAGCCGAACAAGCCATGCAAGATGATGATAGGAGAATGGGGCTCATGATCCGAGCTTTGAGGAGGCACGAATTTCTCGGACTCTAGCAAGATAGGTCCTGGGCCTGACGGAGATGACGAAGAAGACGCCAATCGAGTCGTGACGTAAAATGGCTGTCCTTGGGTTGGGATATCATTCTTCCTCCTTATAAACGACTTGAGTTTTAGATGTCCAATGTCTGAGCCGAACGATGCTCGATTGTGGTAGTCCCTCTGCTTCCAGCTTGATGGTGCTTCTGTCCGAGCGGATGTCAATCCGCACCATCTGTGGTTGATTGATGCTGCTTGCGTGTTGAGCGTCCGTCTCAGAGTACCACCCACGACCGGCTTACCGACCATATCGATCCGCATCGTCCCTTATCTTTTCCGGTTTCCTCGTAGATACGTTTTCTGTGTGGTCCTTGGGCTGACAGTTGAGTATGTAAATCGTTTGAATGGCCCGAGTTGTAAACTTCACCTTAAACCCTGGTTTTCCCCGGCGAACGGGTCCCGGTCCCGGCCTGACACGGACATGCGGCAAGATAGTTCAAATTCTCCCTCTACATATTAAAATAATGTCTTCCCATCCACTCCTGGTAATTATTTGTGGCTCAGGACAAAATAATACATTGACTATAAACAAAAGACAACACGCAGGGCCAAAACGTGACCCTCAATGAAACTTGATACATCAATCAAGAGATGAGAAAACGAGGGAATAAAAGAAAGCAGGTGACACGATCGGAAAAAAAACTGGGTAGATCACATTCCAAATCTTCTAGGAGTTCTACGAGGCGTCAACCCGCTACCAGCCAACCTAGCCAACTGCGGTCCACCAACGCCCAAGATTCGCGGGGTTTGGCCGGCCATCAATTTCGCCTTTCTGAGCTCCTCCATCTCAGACTCTTTCCGCTTCCGATCACTGTCCATCTCCATCTGAAGTTCGGTCTGTTTGTTGAACTTCTCATCCGCTGCCCTTCGCTCTCTTTCCGTGAAATGTTGTTCTCGTACCCTGTTTTTTTTTTATCATTATCATCAAAAAAAATGAAAGGAAAGGTTAAATTTGGAGAGTGTTGAGTTAATTTTTCTTTTCTCCAAAGTCGGTTGTTTTGCGTTGTTGGAAAAAGGCTTACGAAAAGAATGCTGGTCCGAGTTCCGCCAGCCAATATGGATCTACAGAAGTAACACCTAGAAAGGAAGAAAAAAAGTGTGAGGACGATTATCATTATGATGATGTAACATTTGAGGGAGAAGCAAGATGACTTACATTGCATGTATTCCTTGCTGGTGAGAATCAGCTCATGATACACCACATAATCAGGCAAGAAGCCAAGTCCATACAAGGCACTAGTTGGATGTAACTGCATCGGAACACCAGTCCGACAATTTTGGTATTCGCCTATCCCTTTGACTCGAGCAGCCTGATGGAAATACCCCGCACAGATACATTTACTAGAGCCGATATTTCAGAATAGTCAATACGAACATCTCTTTTTTTTTCTCGTAATTTGCAAGTTGGTGGATAGGCCTGGAGGTGCTTACCGGATGATATCCCAATCTGTCCCACAAGCTATGACTTCCAACTTCTGGACTTTCATGATGTCCACTAATTGCTCCCGTACCTCGCGAGCTTTCCTCAATAGTTTTGGGTGCAAGAAATGCTTACCAGCCCATATATCACTGAATCTGTGTGAATTCGAAAAAATTAGCATCCAGTACATGTAAACAGAATACAGATATTTTGACGACAAACCCATTAGTCTTCCATTGGGTGTATGTGTTTAGAAGGGTCAAGTGATCTGACTCGGGAACCTAGATTGATCCACATAATAAAGAGGAACCTCTTGTGAGACTCAATGAACACGATCTCACCGAGATAACACTTCAGTTGTGTTCTCTAGAGGAAAAACAGAACGCACGAAGAACTTTTCACGAGCAGCGTCACTTTCTTCAGCCCGTTCCTTGGGTCTATAGAAGACCGAAGGGACGGACAACATAGATACGATAGTGACCATCTCTGCCGAACACTTATGTTCGACTGAGGTCAGTAGCATCTTAGCAAGAGATGGTTCCATCGGGACTGAGCAAAACAAAAACGCGGATTAGTATTTGATTCCACAGTGGGGACAATGGAACAGGATGGAAGTAGACGTACAATCTGACATCTTCCTGCCTTCTGGTGTCAACTCGCCTATATTGTCTAGTGCTCCTAGCGTCCACAGTTGATACATCGAGCTGCAAAAAGCAGGGTTGAGCATGTTGTACAAGGGGGTTATTCTTCCAAAAAAAGCAACAATGACTCACTTGAGGATATTTTCCTGAGGAGGTGGGTCCATGAAATTGAATTCGAGCAAGTTTTTCACACCCAAAGATTTCAAAAGAAGCACGGTATTGGCCAAGTTGGTTCGTTGAATCTCAGGTATTGTGCTAGGGAACAGCTCGTCCCTAAACGCTTGTTCGGTGTACAATCGATAACAGGTACTGAAAGAAACAGAAGCAGTATGATCAGAACTAGACTAGCCAATATCCCACAACATTGCTGATGATGGAACTCGGCTTACCCACTGCCAGTCCTACCAGCTCGCCCGGATCGTTGGTTGGCATTGGCTTGACTGATTGGGGTGATTTGTAGGGCATCCATCCCAACACGTGGATTGTAAACTTTTAGCTTGCTGAAGCCTGAATCAATCACATACATGATCCCATCGACTGTCAGGGAAGTTTCAGCAATGTTTGTGGCTACGATGCATTTCCGTCGACCATCCTGAGTAGATTCGAAAATCTTTGCTTGGAGGTCTGCTGGCATTTGTGAGTATATGGGAAGAACGGCAAGAAAGGGTGGATTGTCCAATTGTTTGATTCGGTCTGGAAGTAAGAGGCATACCAGTCAGACCCTAGTCAACAGCTTACTGATCAATGTATCGTACCTTTGATAACTTGGCAGGTCACTTCTATGTCCTCCTGACCAGTCATAAAAATTAAGATATCGCCAGGAGGGGACGAAAGGTGTATCTGGAGCGCTTGTTTCACAGCACTATCTACATAGTCCTCACAAGGAGTTTTGCTGAACAAAATGTCGACCGGAAATGTACGACCCGGAATAGTGAAGTCGGGAGCATCATCGAAAAAGCGTGAAAACTAGATAAAGCGAATATAATACATTGAGATTTCATGACATCACCCAACGATAAAGGGATCTAGTCCGCAAACTAACCTTTTCGGCGTTCATTGTAGCTGAAGTGACTATCAACTTCAGGTCCCGGCGTCTAGAAAGAACTGTACGGGACAACAACCACTATTCATCAATTTGACACAATCCATGACTGACGATAGGGAGTAAGGTGACCAACTTTTTCGTAGCAATCCCATCAAAACGTCCGTAGAGAGCGATCTCTCATGAGCTTCGTCTAGAATGATGACACTGTATCGGTCTAAATCGCCTTCGTTTAGAGACTCTCTCAACAAAACACCGTCTGTCATAACTATTGTAAGAGAACCAGAGCTAGGATGAGTTTTAATATTCGCAGAGAAAAATCATGGCCCAAACTTACATTTGACGACTGTTTTGTCTGATGTGCAATCCTCGAATCGGATGGCATATCCAACCTCTTCTCCCAGTACGCACTAGATACAAAACCATGAAGATTAGCAAAAGCAACTGATGATTTCACAAAGCATTGACACTGACTTCCATCTCTTCGCTAACACGCTTGGCAACACTCATTGCGGCCACTCGCCGGGGCTGAGTACAGCCGACAATTCCATACTTGGTATAACCTTCTTCGTGCAAGAATTGACCCAGTTGAGTAGTTTTACCGGATCCAGTCTCTCCGATGACGATGGTGACTTGCAACGCAAAGTTATAAAGAAAGGCACAATAACAGAAGAGCACTTTGCTTAGAATGCAACAGTTTGTATAGTGTTGAGATACGAATACTCACCTTGATTTTCACGAATCTGTTTCAGTAAGCGCTCCCGACAAGCAAAGGCGGGAAGATACTGTCTTTGTTGTTTGAGAGACTTGGTTTTAGCAAAATGACTAACTCCTTCGGATTTCTTGAGATGTGAAGCAAATTGAGAGTCTTTGCGGGCGGTATGACTGTCATCTTGAGGATCTTCCTGAGAGTTTGTTGAAGGATCGAGGTCCTTAGAAACATCTAATGCGGCTTGATCGATGGCTTTGAAAATTAAGTGCAAACACAGTTTCTAATTGAATGATGGATTGGCCCACGAATTTACCCAAACACAGAAAACAAAAAAGTGTAAAATCAAGGAAAGCTCACCATCAACTTCCGCTTCTTCTTTGACCCCCGTCAGATTTCCTAATGTCGTCCCACCAAGCGCTGCGACTTTGGCAGCAGCCTTCTCTCTTTCCTTGCGCATTCTTTGCTCACGAACCAGCACACTCCCTTTTTTACTAAAGATGGCTAGGTCGGAAGTCGGATCTTTGATAGGATTGACGGGCTCAAGCTGCTTAGTGAAGATCAATCGCCCATCAAGGAAAGGCGGCTTCAAATCATGAATCAATAGATGCACGCGAGATTCTTCCTCGTCAGTGAAGTCCAAATCGAGCTTTCTCCGATTCTTGTTCCCTGTCCCACTCATCCGAAGTTGTTGCTCTTCCCATAATTGCTGCTCTTCGTGGCGCGCAGCTTGAGTAGCCGTCATCCGTTTCTTGCCTTTCTCATTGGCAGGCTCTACGGTAGCGGATTCTTCCTCATAAGCAGCGAAGGGGTTGTTGTATTCGTCGTCTAGAGCATTGCCTTCTTCGTGGTTGTACCAATCACGATCCAATCGCATCTGCTCTTCCTCCCACTCTCTTGCATCGATACCAGAATCCGGGGGCGGGCCTAAATCAGTATCCGCCTGAGTCCGAGGGGTGTCGTCCCACTCTCTTCTGCTAGGAACCCTCGCTGATGATCGGGGAGTAGATGACCAAGGTAAGTCTTGACCTCTCTTAGATTGACTCGAGCCAGAAACGGATGTCAACGGAGTAGATTCCCACGCCCGACCCTTGATGATTTGAGAAGAACCTTTTCCACTGGAAGGCGTATCGGGTATGCTGCTAGGTACTCGACTCGCCTGACTGCCGGTTACCTCGCGGGGTTTGCCTCGTGACTGGTTAGGATCGTGCGATCTTGGGGGACCGAACTTGTGTGAACGATTAGCCCTTTCTCGGAATTCCTTGAGGGCACCCTCCGTATTAGGCTTCGGGTCCCGCGAGTCAAATTGTTCTTGTGAAGCCTGAGCGGCACGCTTCTTCCTGTATTCATCTAGTTTGGCTTGAGCTGTTGATGTAAGACCGGGCCCATGGGAAGGGGTGTCATCAGGCCTTTGACGTCGATTGAACCGTTGAGAGGCTGGTCGAGTGGGAACTGTAGGTAAAGAGTCATTGAACATGATAAGTGACCAGAACATTCATCTTCTTCATAAATTAGTGTCAATTGGTGTACGCACCTTTGAATTCTGGCTGGTCTTCCGAATTTGAACTATTTTCTGGCCGAGGTTTCTTGGATTCCCGCTCATCAATCAACAATTTTTCTGCTCGTTTACGCATAGCTAGACGGTCAAGTCCCAATTCGGAAGCACGTGCAGGCTGGGGTGCTTTGAAAACGTGTTTCTCAACATCCTCCTTCCCGACTCGAAGAGAACCGTGTTGCTTGTTGGGGATGGAGAGGCCACCAGGAGCGGGGGAAGATGAAGGTTCGAGTAAATCGCGGTCCTGGATGACCATCTGTGGTACGACTTGCTTGCCATCACCGGTGAGATTGAGACCATTGGTGAGACCCTGAGATGGATTGGCAGACAGGTCGATCGATGAAGAGAGGGCGGACAGATCATCTCTCGAGGATAGTTTATCCCACAGGCTGGTGATATAAGTGTCGTCAAATCGACCAAAACTCTTGACATTCTTGGCAAAACTGGTAAGAGTATCCCCAGTTTTCGACTGTGAGAGTTGGATGATCCGTTTGGTGAGAATTTGATTGGGTTGATGTAGTCCGATCTTGTGCGATATTTCGATTGCTAAGTCGTTGATGAACTGATCGAGTCCGGTCGAGACTGCCATGATGGCGGTAATCAGCAAAGATGAGAAGAGATGGAGAAGGAGAACAACTTCAAGGAAAAAATATTCAGCCTCGGTCATAGGAACTTAAGGCTTTCACAAGCAGTGTCACAGTACATATCACTCCCTCGCCAGACCTCCTGTCGATCTGAGGAACTCCCGAGAAACCCCGGACGCATGACCCGCGGATACCAATCACCTTCACCAGACTCAAGTGCACAAACTCTCTCTCTGCGAAACTTCCTCACATTCATCCTTGAAATTTGCTTTTTAAGTATCCTCTACCAGAAAAACTTTATCATCAATATCTTTGAAAAGATTTTCTGTTATTGTGGTGGCAAAGGCGACATTTTTCTGAGAGAGAAAACCCAATAGAATGGTGAAACTTTGGATGAAATTTTTATTGAAAGAAAAAAAAAAAGAAAAGAAAAAGAAAAAGAAAAACAAGGGGAGGAGGGGGGACAACGAGCAGTAGGAACTACAACTGTCTTTTGTTATTTGTTTGTATATTATATATGCAGATCAGATGATGATTGATTTGTACGTTTTAGATACAAAATAATTTACCAGCGTTAGACCTGGGCATTATTAGAACGTATCTATGTATGGATGCATGTGTAGTATGTAAGCCGACTTATTTAAGTAACAAGATCGAAAAAAAAAATTGAAGGTGGAAATCAAATGGATGAAAAAATGAAGGATTGCAACGAAGCTTTTCAGTTTGGAGTTGAAGTGGGGATTTTTTTGGTCAAGTGCAATTATTAAGAAGATGTGATATAGATTTATGTATGTGGACTAGATATGTGTGTGTAGATGGATGACTGAAAGGAGATTTTAAACGAGATCTATACAAAAAAGATGACTGGACAGAGCGACTGTGTTACTAACACTCATCAAGAGTTGATGTGGTCTCTTCTGTCGTGTACATAACAGAGGCAAAAATGACTATGTAGAATCACCACCAATGTCCACGATGAAGAGACCACAAGAATTGTGGAAAAAATGGGGGGGGGGAATAAACTAAACAAAGCATTGAGAACAATGAGCTGAAGGAGTACTACTTATAATGCAAACTGATTGACTGGTATGACTAAAAAGTCTCAATTTTCAACACCTCAAGAGCGTTGAATGAGTCGCACAACCTCGAAGTACGTATTCGGAAAAAAGAAACCCAAAGAAAAACGTCCGATTATTTTCTAAAAGGGATGCCAAAAAGTGTAGTTTTTTGATTGTCAGATTCGAGCTCATAAAGGAGATGGGTTTCATGGTCGAGGAAGGGAAAAAAATCACTGACTTGACGATGACTTCAAATTTACCAAAGTCCACGGAGCTCATGGCCCAGATAGCGGATAAGCCTTCAGCAATAGAAGCAAAAGGTTGAATCACAACCGCACAGGGAATATGGATCATAATTCTCCACCATTTTTGTCCGTAATCCAATTCTTGGAACAGTAGTCCCCAGAGGTAGAGCCAATAGAACGTCACAAAACAGAAATCCGCACAAACGGCCACCCATAACGGCGTCAAGGACTGATCAACCAGTAGGAAGGGAATGTTGATGATCGTCACCGCAAGGGTGAATACTCCCACAATCCATAGGTTGACGGCCAAATGCGGTAAGCCGTAGCTAACAGAAGGAAACAGAAAAAGCAAATTTTGTTAGCAAACGGAATATCGGCCTTCAAGAGTTCTGCAAAATCAAATTAATGCTTACAGCCCATCGATATCACGAATACCCATAAACCATCGACGACGCTGTTTGAGGAAATCCCGGAGGGTCGTGGGCGACTGCTCACGAACGATTCCATGTACTCTTCCACAAGTAAAACCACGCCTCCAAGCATCTTGCGAAAACTCAAAGTCCTCTGCCAAGCTGTAGCACAAGTCGAGGTCAACATCAATTTTGAATTTCCTCTACAACCGAATGACTTGTCACGTACGATCCAAAATCCCAAGTACATTCGTTCTCCATCTCCCCATTGGTCATCAAGAACGATCCATGAACTCCGAACACAGGCCTGTGAATGACCGTGTTCTGGAAGTGAAATCTGGCCAAGTCATCACCGACACGGATACCGTCCGCGACAGTAAAGTACCAATTGTCCCAATAGCCTTCACCATTATACAAGATGATCCCTTGTCCGAAGTGATGAGGTGTCTGTGTTGCATAGCAAGTGTCAAGTCAGTCAACCAACCGAAAAGAAGAGAACTGATGTTTTGCTGATCAAGATTTAGAACACTCACGTATCTGATAAACTCGAGACAACGCCTCAAACTCTCTCCGTCTGTCGTAGACTCTTCGTCCATATGCAAGATCCAATCGTAGACCCCAAGGGAAACGTGGTATCGGAAGTAGTCCAAGGCTCTTGCTTTATATTTAGCCTTGCCCAAAGGTGAGACGTATGACTTGGGACAAACGATGTTTTGCAGATCGGGATATACATAAGGTTCGTCTGTCAAGACAATCACTTTGACTAATCACAATTGGAAACAAGACGCCGATATTAGTAATCAGCAGTCTCAGCAGACAGATGAAGAGCGCGGACATACCGGCTGGGTGGTATTTTTCAAGCAGTACAAGCTTGTTGTATCCTCTTCTGACAGCACTTTCATTTGATCCTTTAGTGACAAGTAGGATGAAGAAGTTACGGACATATTCCCGACAGACGGGCTTCTTCTCGAGAGTCGCAATGCTTGGGGCGAGATCGGGGGTGATGAAACCGGCAAAGGCAAACAAACAATTGGGCACAGAGAGTACCCACATAAACCTCCACAAAGTAGAAAACTGGAGGGCAAATGGGATTAAGTAAGTTTTTTAAGCAATTCAACAAAGTCTAGCAATCCGGAATGAACTTACTGTGAAAGCATCGTAAGTCCAAGTACCGGTGGGGTGGTAGATAACCCATAGTATGCTGACCAGCGGGATGATCACAATGTGAATCATCCATGTGTATTGTTGGAATCGCAACAGGCGAGCCGTTCGGACAGCTTCATCATCACTGCTCATGTCAGACGTCCACCGGGTTGAATGAAGTTGATTGATGACTTCGGGATCGACTGGATCGGCGATCGCCGGTCTGACGCAAGGTGTTCGCCAGTTCAAGAGTGTGTGGAGTCCTTGGCGGGTTGCTTGGAATTTCGTCTTGACTTTGCTGGTAACGTATTTCGCCGAACCTCCTGGGGTGCTAATGAGCATATTTCCAAAGGCACGAGCAGCTTTCAGAGGAAGAGCCACAGCGTTGGAGGGTGCAGTTACAAAGAAGCCATCCCAAATCCACTTGGCCAAGTTGAGACCAACACGATCCAGGAGATGATAGCCAATCCACGCCACGACGATATTGAAGAGAAGGCAGATGAGGTAAGCTGGTATGACCATGTCCCAATAGCTCTTGCCTTGACCATTCAAGTAGATAATAACCGGGGGCATGATGCTGTAGAGAGTGATGAATTGCATCAAGTAGAACCCGTATGAAACTTTACCCAGCCAGGTAAAAATTCCCCAACTGGCAAGCCACTGCATCGCATGCGAAACCTCGACCCAGATGAGTATACAAAGTGGAGGGATCCAGTTCGACATGAACATATATTGGGGCCAAGTCATACTCTGGTCCCATCCAAATTTACCCTCGTAGACGGTAATGTTACCAACAGCATTGTCAGCTGGAGTGGCAACTTTAGTCCCACCGGCGATCATTGCTAGAGCCACTATCATCACCGAAATTTCCACAGCCATCGTAGGTTTCCAGTGATCTTGAAGCTTGCGAACAAAACCAGCAGCATGGAGATCGGCAAGCCAGAGACCGAGGACGTAAAGCATGTTGGGGCTGTTGATAAACCACAGGGAGGCGCAGACGACAAAGTACGTGAGATAGCGGCCAATCCAACCAACCTGCGCGACAGAAGCTGCGAGGATATAAACCAGCACCGAGCCCCAAAATTGATCGTATGTAGACCACAACGCAGAACCGACGTTGAGCATGTACTGATGACCTCTGTTGGTGAATAGGTCAAGACAGAATTGCAAGAAACCCCAGAAATTGCCGATGTGATCCCAAGTTGGGTTCCATAGTGAGGAGGGCGTCAAGATCCGTGCAGCCGTAACCGGTCGATCACCAAGCAGTTTTCTGGAAGCAATCTGCCACTGAAGAAAACCGACGACGATGGCAGGAAAAGCCAGACGGATGGACCGTCGGAATAGGGAAGATGAAAGCGACAACCAGCGAGGGCCTTGCCATCTTGCAGCTTTCCCGCCAGGAATCGGAACCCCATGAGAGTCCTTGGGGGCTACTGGGCGAGTGAAGGCTGATCGGAGGAAAGAGTGGGCAAGAACTCGACCACCAAGTAAAAAATACATGCCAACCGCCAGCTGCCCATTGCGCATCAGACCATAGACACTCCCCTGGGAGAGTGTATCGGGATGAGATTGAGCCCACGTTAAATCACTGAAGTGATGAGTGAAAATGACTAGTGAAGCAAGGCCTCGAATTCCGTCGATCCATTCTAGACGGTTCTGACGGCTCACAACAACGGGGGGTGCGCGAACGACACCATCGGTGGAGATCCGCGAGGCTTTCTTCTCGTCTTCAGCGGGACTCGAGGGAGGGATGGGGATGTAAGTTGGGCCTGAACCGGTAAGGTCTTCAGAAATGTCTTTGGTTGGATAATTGCCCGTGCCGTATTTTTCGTCGGCAAAGGTAACACCATCCTGGCTAGCGAGTTCGGAGTTGCGCCACTCGTGATTTAGGGCTGTCCGGGAAGAATCGTACGGAATACCGCCGTTGTAGCCGGCGTCAGTGCCGATGGTCGAGGCACGACCTGACTCAAGACCATCAACAGCGTAGGTGCCTTGTCGATATCGTCCGTAAGCTGGCGAGGAAGGCGAGAGTGACTCGGCCGAAGGATGGCCCTTGGGATGATTGGTGCGATTGTTCGTGCCATCATAGCCTTCAGGCTTTATAAGTCAACAAATAGTGATTTGGGTAAGTAATCACTCTCCATCGTCTTTTTTTTGGAAATTAATTTCGATCAAATGACAATAAAAACAACTCCTTACCTCGCGATGGTACTGTCCGTAACCATTTTCGCCATTGTCTTTCCCGTTGGAATAAGCAGCCCGAAAACCACTGGGTGAGCGAGAGTCTATCTTTGTGTTTTCACCGCTGGAGTGAGTCTCATTGGAGTTGTGATCGATTCCCTCGACAGTGATTGGACTGTTTGGTTCACTGATACCCAATGCCCCGCCGTCGTTAGTATTGCCACGGGGAGCATAAGCCCCAAAGCCGAAGGATGAGAAGTTTTCGGTGAGCGGGACGTTGGGAAGGGCATGGATACCGGGTTGCTGTTGCCGGTGATGATCGACCCTCCGACGAGCACTGGATGAGGCCGTGCTCTCCTGATGGTGAACAGACTGATCAGGAAGGTCATGATAGTGAGAGGACATTGAAGGATGGCGGTGTTGCCGACGAGATGGAGGGTCCTGGTTGGAAGGATACATGCTGAGGGGGTAAAGGGAAACGACGGGGGCTCGTTTAACAGCTATGCTAGAGCCCCAAGCAGAATGAGACTGAGTAGCGAGGACTGAGGGAGGGAGAAGGAGGAAGCGGATGGGGAGGGAGATGGTCAAGAGGGGGGGAGGGAAGGGGAGGTGGTGAAGAGGAGGGTGAAGGGGGGTGGTGGGTGGGGTGCAGAGGATGGTGTGATGATGCTGATGCTGATGATGGTGTATTGAAGCTTAGGAAAGCCGAGTAACTATAGGCACAGCCAAGCGAAAGTAATCGGATTCTACGGGGCAAGGGTACATAAGCCAATGCAAGAACAACGTGAAAAAAAAGAAAAAGAAATGAACAAGAGCTGGATCCCTCGAAGGGAAGGGGTGAGCCTTTATGGAGGAAGGGGGGGTAATCAATCAGCACTTATCAAACCACACATCAACAAAATCAGGATCAAAATCAAAATCAATTCGATCGCTGGTCACTGTTCGTCGGTCGCAGGATGCTGCTGCTGATGGCAGATGATGATGCTAATGAAGTCGATGTTAATGTTTGGAGTTGGAAAAAAAAACAAACGAAAGGAAAAAAAAAACAGGTGATAAAGACTAATAAATATTCTAGGAAGGATTTGAATATTTAATCTGTTTTTCTCTTTAGACCAAGATTTTACGGGTTGTTGGGCAACCTTTAATTCACAAGAAGCTGCTGTTGTAACAAGTGTTAGAGGCTGAGGTGTGTGTGTGTGTGTGTTCTGTTGGTAATCAGAAGATTGGGACAATCTCAGGCGAAGTCGGGTCGAGTCCAAAGTTGATATGAGGACAGAGGGAAGTACATAAAAGGAAGCTAATCAATCTTTTAATCTACCCGCAGAGTTGGATTGACTGGATCAGAATACTGAGACTTTATCAAGAGAGTTTTAAGAGGCACATTTTAGATGGCAGTGTTGTACTGATATCATGGAGGAGAGAACCGAAGAACGAAATTGAAACTTTCCAGGGTCCAATCCGGATCTGCATCCACACACTCATTCCGTCCTTCATTTCCTTCTTCTCTAATTCTGACATCCAGCTCATCGTATTACCAATCCATCCAGGTAAGCCTACCGCTTGGGTCTGGATAACAAAAGCTTGCTTGCTCAGGTGCACGTGTAGTACTACATATGTACCGACCCCGAGCCTGACATTGGCAAGTGAGATACTTATAATATCTATTTAGGGTATCCATCCACTCACAAATCCTTTATAAACTCATTCAACTCCAATGCACCGGAATGGACATGGTATGTATTTTGTAGAAGGAAACGGGCTCAACAGCCGCTGCCTCACTCGGATACATCCTGATATCAGCCCGGGGGGGTTGCAGTTGTATTCTCTCCCAGCTTGCAGGAAAATTCACCACTTTTTAAGTTCTTGAAAACAGACCACCAAGCAAGCTATTTGTATAGAAATGCACAAACGGAGATTTCCCTGTTGTCTGTCTTGACTTGAAAGCTTGTACACCGGCTTGTCCACGATGGCCAAGGGATCTCTAGAGTATCATGATATTCATGAAGATAATAATTGATACATAGGAGTCGGAAGATGGTTTGAGTCAAAATGACGATATGAAAAAATAAACAAGTCGTCACCAGCTCTGTTCGACTGCCTTGCTTGATCAGCTGTTCGTGCCGCAACAACGAGAGCATACGCTCCAACAATGTGATCAAACTCCCCACCCCAATCTATCAAAGCTTCAACCCTTCACACAACCATGTTGTAGTATTCGAGAGCCGATACACTCTTTCTAACCGAGCACACAGATGATATATAAGATACGTCTTTATGGTTGTACATCTTGTTCGAATTTGTAAATACCTCGTCATCAGCATTACAAAGTTTTTTTTTTTTTTTTTTTTTTTAGATTTCTTTACAAAATGAATTGATGTCGGTTCTTTGTTGCAGGTCTTTCATGCAGATATTCTTTCCAGAAAGATATTTGTAATCGACAAGGATGGTTATCGTCGAACGATCCAATCCGTTTCCTTGGGACATGTGCCGATGGATTCGCATGTTTCCCCTCCATGCAACTAGAGGGCATACGGACTAGATTGGCCTTTGAGAGACCTCTGCTTTCGTCATTCAATCAGCGTGGTCTAGTGCTTGACCAACGGGAAAAGTAAATAAAAAGAAAGCAGGAAGCAGAACCAGAGCGGAGAACAGGTCGACCTTTTCACAGGAAGATCACTCAAGATCGGGTGCGTGAAGGATGAAAACCTTAGCGGCGGTGTTGATGATGATCCTCAATAGGCTTGGCGATTAGAATTCTTCCGATTGCAAGTCGAACTGAAATCAAGTGTGCTGAAGGGCTGATGGCAGAGTAAGCCAAGCCGCCGATATCCGGATGCAGGCACTTTGCTTGCTCGGGTTTGAATATGTCTGAATAATATAATACGACCGATCAAACGATCGGAGCCAGCCCAGTGGAAAGACCATTTGGGTCCTCTCGACCACACACACACACGTCATTAGTGTGCCAATCCTTAGCAATCCTTGCAAGACCTTCCACACACTGGCAACCCCACGTCCTACTTAGTTGTTCTAGATGGTAGATTAGTGACTTACACGCGACAGTCCACAGGAAAGACCAAAAAACACAGGGTTTTTTTTTTTCTTAATTATGAACTAACTTCCTCATATGAATTTAAATAAATTATTCATCTCCAGATTGAAGCCGGAGACTATAACGTTGTTTACAAAGAAAGATCTGGGTTTCTGACATTGGAGATTACCATCGTTGGCGAAAATTTATCATTTAAATTCAGCCCACGTCTGCTGGGAAATGACGGGTCCGGAAGCTGGATGATCGGTCAGATGGAAAGTTCTATAGACTATGTACCAATCCGAATGCCAGTGTGATCCTCCCAGAGGCTGCGGGAGTCGATCTATCTCTAGGCTCTCGATAGGGTTCATGTCCAGCTAGGATTCTTCCGGCACGGCTGGCGCTTAGCGAGCTGCTCATCTGCTTGCTGTAGCTGCAGACGGACGAGCACCCAAGAACACCCAGCTGCAGACGGACGATCAGCACCCAAGAATCTGATACAAAGGCCTCGTTTGGCCGTCCATGATCGTCATAAACGATCATGGCGAATATATCGGGGGTGCACAGCTGAAGACGGGGCCTCACGATGGTGTTTGGGAGGCCACGTCATATCCACTTTTTTTATTACGGAAGTGGTCAGCGAAATATATTCCCTGCCAATTCCAACATTTTGGGTCCCCCCAAAATTTTTCGTCATAAGTCCTCACAGCGAGGTTGATGAGGATTTTCAGGCTGCGTCATTTGCACAGCCTGGAATCATCAAACCTAGATTTTGATTTAACGATTGGAGACGACGGCCTATTACGATCGTGGACGGCCAAACGAGGCCAAAGTGAACAGTTGCCATAAAACACTGCGGTTGGACTTGGAAGAATTGGGCTGGCCAGTTCACCGTGTGGTTTGTGCGCATCTCTTGATATTATGGTCTGAATTAATAGAGGTAGACAGAGCTGAGCAGGAACAAGAAAGTTGTCCTCTTTAACAGAATCCAGCAGCTTGCAGCTCAAGCTTCATTTTGAGTGATCTCTCTTGGTTCTCACTCCAGAGATCTGTGAGGATAAGGCCAGAAAGGGGCTACTGCGGCAAGGCAGGTAGCATGGGTAGAACAAAGGGGTAAACCTAGAATATCATTACATTAGGTTTACACACGTTGTATTTAGTTCACTCAGTGGAGGACTTCCCGTGCAAACTGGAGCCCTCACAGAAGTCAATCTAGACTTGAAAACTCTAGATTCTTGCAAGGGGATTTGGTTTTCGAGGCTCTAGATTGGTTCTGGGGGACCCGCAGATTCCGACGGGAAGTCCTCCAGTCTAGTTGTACACGTTTCCTTTTCTTCTTTTTCTCACTCATCATTGCTTGCCTCTTCCTCTGCACACCATCAGGTGCATAGTCTCTTCTTCGTCCCTCTTCTCCTCATCATCCTCCCTTCGTCGGCTCTCTCTTAGCCTCCTAGCTCATCCGCTGCTCTGTGGTGTTTCTCAGGTCTGCTTCTTTTCCTCTTGCTCTTTTCTCTTTCTTGTTTTCTTTTCTTTCTCTGTCCTTCTCTTTTCTCCTTGCTCACTATGCAATGAACACTCATCATCGCTTGCCTCTTCCTCTGCACACCATCAGGTGCATAGTCTCTTCTTTGTCCCTCTTCTCCTCATCGTCCTCCCTTTGTCGGCTCTCTCTCTTAGCCTCCTAGCTCATCCGCTGCTCCGTGGTGTTTCTCAGGTGCATAGTCTCTTCTTCGTCCCTCTTCTCCTCATCATCCTCCCTTCGTCGGCTCTCTCTTAGCCTCCTAGCTCATCCGCTGCTCCGTGGTTTTTCTCAACATGCTGTCAAAAATGTGTGCAGCACTAGAGCTCCTTTCACCAATCAATGTTCTGCATTGTCACATTGTTGTCCAATATTTCCACTCACTGAGCCCATCCAAAGACTTTTGATCAATAAATTGGTGGCCTGCATTCCACAATGATAACATCCCTCCAGTTTGGATGTCCATTGGAATAGAATGGATGCCCTTGGCCTGGCTGCCAGTTTTCCTCAAAACAAGTGTGTGCTTTCAGATGGATGTCTGTTGTCATTCATTGTGTCTCTGTAAGCTCTCTAAGGCAAAGTTGTGTATATAGTTCTGGTTTTCTATGTACTGTCATGTGGGAAAGAATTTTTAAGAGTTGAGTGGTTTCCAAACCCATTTGAACTTCTTTTCATTTCTTTTCAATTTTTTTTGGTCAACCCTGTTTTGTTTTATTCTCCAAAAAAACCTGTGTGCCCACTTGACATTGATTTCCTAGGTCTGTTGAACATTGAGCTGGAAAAAGTTTTGTTTGTCTGAGACTGTAGTGTAACATCACAAACTGATAAAATAAATTCTGGGTTACCTTGAACATTCAAATTTGGGTGTTGGGGTGAATTAGGAAGCTTTATTTGAACTTGTGAATGTGA